CTTCATAGACAAAATGATTACCCTCAATAAATTTAGACCAAAACATATTTCAAATGAATCCCCAAAACATTCGGTTTGTTTGTGTTTATGTCTTTTATACTTTTTAAATGTTTAAAATTCTTTATTGTATTTTATTTTATTTATTTATTATTATTGTTTTCAATAAAGCTTACAAATCCGACATCCGCACCGCCTCCAAAAAAAAAATAATAAATTACCCTGTCACCAAATTATCCATCTGCCAAATAATTCAATGTAAAATAATGTAAAACCCAAATTATTACTTTTTCTAATTATTCTTAAAACTAAATAGATTCAATTAAATTTTTTAACCTAATAAATATCTCAACTTTCAAATTTATATTTAATTTATCTCGAAATTTTAAAAATTATTAAACTTTTAAATTTTCAATTAATATGTTTTAAAATTTCTATTCTCTATCCATTATTATTATTATTTTATTTAATTAGTCTATTTTAAACATTTTTAATATTTTAAAGTTTAATAATATAAAAATGGAAAGTAATACGGAAGATAAGAAAATTACACATTTTTCAATTTCTATTTTGTATTTAATAAATTCTTAAAAAAAAACTTTTATTTCCGTATTTAATAAATTTTTTACTTGTGATAAGTAAATATGCATTATTTTTAGATTAAATATAAAATTAAAACCTAAACCATTTATTAAACATAAAATAAAAAATATCTATATATATTAAAACCGTTTTATTGGATATATTTTAAAACTTTTCAATTTTTGAAAACGAAGGCATCTGGTGTTGTTTAACACTTTTACTAAAATGCCCCCAACCATACGTGTTTTTTTATAAATAAATCAATTAAAGAAAAACTAAATTAGGCAGTTTTACCTTTGACCTTCTTGTCAGTCTTGGTCCCTTTGAAACTGTCGTAAGCCAGATAGGATAGCCCACAGAGTCTCCACACTCCCCACGCGCTATCTTCGCACGTGTTCTGCACTTTCCCACTGTTCCTTCCTTTTAAAATTATTCATTTTTCTTCTATTTTATAATTTAATTGTTTAATTACAATTTTTCTTAATTGAAAACATTTATTTAGATATCTTAAATTTGTTCTAGTAGCATTTGGACTACGTACTGATTCGAGTGTCAAATATGTAGTAATAATTTAAAAATCGACACGTTTTATAATATTTATAAAAGCGATAATGAAAATTGAAAATACCAACTAAGTTTAATATATAGAAAGGTGCCTTTATATTGTTGGAGATAAGGTGGTTAAGTTGGGTGATTGAAAGTTGCAAATGTTGTTTGAATATGTTGAGCATGATGCATTATTCATATTTGTAAATGCATGATTTTGGGTTAGGGAACCGTTTATGTCCATTTATGTTATTGGATGAATGCAATATGCTCTAGAATGCGCGTTATGATTATGTTATATTGATCTTAGAACCTAGATTTGGATTCCCTAGAACATTAGGTTGACCAGGTATCTCGTAAGGACAATTAGGGCATAACTCCTATTCATGAACTAGCTAGGAGGGGTTAGGATCCACTTGATACACAAAGTTATGTTGTCAACCAAAGGGGGTTCCCACCTACTTATGAGATTTACCCTGAGCATTTTCCCATAATCCATAGGGGCTCGAGGCACAATTAGCGCAAGGTTGATTACAGACTTAAGAAAATGAAAAACATAGAGCTAAGGGTATTGAAAACCCTTAAGTTATGAACCAATACATAAATAAAATGATATGTCTCATTCATGATGGTATGTGTTTGCATCTAATCTCAATAGTGGGATCACATATTGAGTATTTCTTAAAATACTCAAGACTCGTACTACTTCTATTTCAGGTAAAAGCAAGTGGAGACTATGACACATGATTAGGATAGTTGTGTTTAATTTCTTAGACTTTAGGTTATAATAGGGTGTTTTTACTTTTAACGTTTATTTATTTTATTTAGTACTTCGTTATGTTGTTTTAAAGATGTTTTCGAATGTATAAGCCCATGACAGTATTTTATGTTGAAGTTTCAAATGATTATTTCTGCACAAGTGAGGACTTTATGCATACAATAGCAAATTTAGGTTAAGTAAAAATCTAAGGCGGTTACAGGAACTCTTAAAGCTCTAATAGGCTGTCATAGGGAATGCAGGAAGCTTTAACACATTCTATATCACAAGGGACACATGAAATCTCAGACATAGTTCAAGATCAATATGTTCATCGACCATAGGACTCTACAAGTCTTCCAAAGAAGTGTCTAAGGGACAAGAAATAAGAACCATGACCTCATAATCAAGTAAGAAATCAAGAACCCAAAACCTCAAAATCAAGGTCCCAGTTCAAAACTAAGAAATTAAGAACTTAAGAACTCAGAATCTTACCCAAGATGCTCAACCTAAAAACATGTAGGTACTTAGAACTCATGACTAGAACCTAAGGATCAAGGTTCTTAGAACAAAAACCAAAATGTATCATGATCAAGAAAATAGTATAGTGATACTCTAGCATCTAGCATGGACACGATTAAGAGCTTACAATTAGACTACTTACACACTCTATATTTTCCATGTATTTCATGTGAACTAGGACGGAACAGGTCTCGATTTGGTGCCATAGAGAGCCCAGCCTAGAGAAATAGAGCCTCCACTATTGTTGTATCAATTTTTGTCATCTGATTAGACTCTAAATGAACAACCCCATATCTTTTCCTTCACAGGCATCTCTATTAGATTATTGACCTTTACTCTTGTAGTCTCGTAATCATGGCCATTGCCTGATTTGCAGCAATTGCAGATGAATTTCTTTCTTCCTCCAATTCCTTGTATAATGAACTCATAAGCTTCTTATCAAACTCGACCTGTCGTTTCAACCGATCAACCACGTTTTCGTCTTCGATTTCACTGACAATGCTTCCATCTAGAGAATCTAAGCTGGACTCATTATACCTTCAACCGTGAGATCATCCTTAGAATTGGTTGTTTAAACCCCCAAAGTGCCTCCAATTCGATCAGATTCTGTGTCTGAAGTAATATTCAGCTCTCTGTATTGAACATGAGGTAAAGGATTGCTTGGAGACCCTTGGATATCCACCTTACAAGGGACAATGGAACTTGACCACGGAACATCCAGATCCTCAGCCTTCAATCCAGTTGATCTGGTCTGGATTAACGTTTGAACAAACCCTCTTGGGACCAATGGATCCTCACAAAACGAACAATGTTTTTGGCTTAAAGTATCGTACAAATAAATTACATTCCATGAAGTTTTGAAGGTAGGTATTCAAACTATGTCATTTTAAACGTATAAAGCCTTGAGTATAGGTATTCAAGCTGCATCATAGGGCAAGTCCTGGATGTAGGTTTTCAGACCACGCTGCTCGAAACGTATAAAGCTTGGAGTATAGGTATTCATACTTTATCGTTTGGAACATATAAAGCCGTGAGCATTTGTAGCTAGGTTGTACTATAGGGTAAGCTTTGGATGTAGGTTTTTAGAATGTATTGTAGGGCAATCCCTAGATGCAGGTTCAAACTACGTCACTTGGAATGCATGTGAAGTATTGGATGTATGTTCAGACTATATCGCTTGGAACGTATGAAGTCACGTGCACAAGTTATCAGGTTCATGACTAGTACCGTAAATCATAGGGGGAGTGTCTTGGAACTTTGTTTTGATGTAAATTATGTTTTAAATTCTATTTGTTTTGCGTTGCCATCTTTTTACATCATTGAATAAGCCAAAGTCAAGACGTCAAGACTGTGCCTTATAGTAACGGTCCGTGATTTGATGCGTCGAAAAATGGGTTGTTGTACGATTGTTGGACACTTTAGCAAGAAGATGGGACTTAGATGTTAAAACAAGTTATCTCAAAAAAAGTTAGAATTAAGATTAAGTGAGTATTTGAGATTTTCAGACATTAGCATCAATCGATGTTGATTTCATTAAAGAGCTTAAGCGATGAATGCATTTTAAGTTATTAAGATTATGGATAGAAAGATTTAGCAGAGTTGAGGTAGACAATGCCTCTCCGTAAGATTCATTACAACACCATTTTCATGTCGTTTAATTTCAAATTTCTAAATTCAATATTGGTGTAGTCTACACTAGAGACAAAAATGTAACTTGACTCCGACTATGGATGCTTATTGGACTGATTGATCACTTTTTCTTCTGATTTTTTTTTTTTTTTTAAATAAGGAAGATACTAATAAAAAATTTAAAAGTTTACGGGTATTTTTGAAATATTAAAAATTTAAAGATATATTTTTAATAAATTATTAATTATTTTCATCTTAGGTATTTTTAAAAATTTTGTAAGTTGAGTCAAAATACAAAGTTATTTAAAAAATAAAAATAAACATTTTAAAGTATTTTGAATGTTTGTGAATTAAAATAAAATAATCCCACCTCGAGAATCAAAATTTGGACTTAAACCTAATCAATGTCATAAATGAATCAAAATAATTTAAAATTTAAAAGAAGATGAGTAAATAAATGTTATTAAAAAAATCCAATAAAAAGGTTATAAAAATAGTATTATGTTAATCAAGATTATTTATGATTATTACACAATTAATTTATAAGATTAATTATTGCAAGCTAATATACTAAAGAATTAATCACCTTTTAATTATCTTTAATAAGTTAATTTAATTATGATTAAATTGAATTATTTTCATTAAAATACGATAAGTAAATAAATATTTAAGAAAAACTAAAAGCTTTGGAACTATACATAAATACAAAATTTAAGGATTATGTTTAATTCTTTAATCTTTATTGTTTCATATGGTGTCGACATATTCAGAATATTAAAATTAATTTACTCGTTAAATAAAAAAAATAAAATTTATATTTAATTTTAAAAAATAGTAGAGAGAGAGAGAGAGAGGTAAAGTCTATCCGATTGAGACCCACTGCAAACTCCCTTCTTCCACGTTAACATTTAATATTTACAATAAAATAATTAAAAATAAAATAAAAAGCTAGAGAGAGAGAGGGAGAGAGAGAGAGGCACTTAACCACTTTTATATGTTGCACGCATCCATGGCAGAGAACAGAAGGAACCCCAAACTCCACAAGCAAACTCTTCTTCCTTCTTCATTCCAAACAAGAACAACAAGAACAAGATCAGCCCAGCAGGAACCATAACTTGAAGGTTTATTATCAACAATTTCTCCTAATTTTGACTCCCTTTCTCTTAATTTCTTCATCTCTTTGATTTTTGTTTCATTTTTTGGGGTTTAGATCTTGCAATCTCATGCTCTGTTCGATTGGGTTTGGTTCGTATGATTATTACTTCTGGGTTCTTCCTAGATGAAGGCCATGCCCTTACCCTTGTCTTTTGAAGACTTTCGTCCAAATGGGGTATTGAATTTCACTTCTCTCTCCGATTCTCCGCCGCCTCCACAACTCCGCCGTCACAACTGGAGTTGCAGCACTGATAATACCAATCTGCTCAAAGATATTTGCTATGTGGGTGCTGCTGAACCCACCTCTGTTCTCGACACTAGAAGAAGCCCAAGCCCTCCCACTTCCTCTTCCACACTGTCTTCGTCTTTCGGCGGCGGTGGCGGTAACGCCTCCACCGACACTGCAGTGGTTGCGCCCCCATCTTCTCTCCCTCAAAACCCTTCTCCTTTAGACAAATGCGGTGGTGGCGCCCTTGGAATTGATGATTGGGAAAGTGTTTTGCCGGAATCCCCTGGCCATGGTCCCTCCGTTCTTGGGTTAATTATGAGTGATGTCGAAGACCCATCTCTGGGATTGAATAAGCTACTGCAGAACGGAGGTGGCGGCGGCGGTGGTTCTCATCTGGACTTGGACTTTTCTGGGGGGGTTTCCGGTGTCGATCATGGTTTCGTCTTCGAACCGAATACTCTCGCCGGAGAATCTATTGTAGACCCATCTTGCAACGATTTCCACAACGGGAGACTTTTTCCCGGCGTGTTTCAGAATCAGAATCAAATGATGGAAGCGATTGATGAGAAGCCACAGATTTTCAATTCTCCCCAACTTATGATGAATCAAAATCAAACCCAGTTCACTCAGAATCCGGCTCTGTTTATGCCTCTTCCTTATGGCTCCCCTGTTCAAGATCACCATCAAAACCACCACCACAATCTGCTGGTTCCGCCGCCCGCTAAACGGTTCAATTCGGGTTCAATTGGGGCTAATTATCAAGAAATTATGAATCGTAGACAGCAACAGGCACAACAAGTTCAAGTTCAGATGTTTGCTCAGCAGCAGAGGGCATCAATAGCAGCAGCTATGGCAAAACAGAAAATGGTGGATGAAGAAATAGCAAATCAACAGCTCCAACAAGCCATTTCCGACCAGATATTCAGAGCCATAGAGCTAATCGAAACAGGGAATTCTGTACTCGCGCAAGGGATATTGGCGCGGCTCAATCATCATCTCTCTTCCCCCATTGGGAAGCCCTTTCAAAGGGCTGCATTCTACTTCAAGGAGGCGTTACAATTGCTCCTTCAAAACCCTTCAAATCCATCCTCCAATGTCATCTCCTCCCCTTATAGCATCATTTTCAAGGTTGCTGCTTACAAATCCTTCTCTGAGCTCTCCCCTGTTCTTCAGTTCGCTAATTTCACCTCTAACCAAGCCCTCCTCGAGGCCTTCAATGGCTTCAACCGACTTCACATTATCGATTTCGATATCGGATACGGCGGGCAATGGGCTTCTTTGATGCAGGAGCTTGCCTTGAGGAATGGTAGTGGGTTTCTCAAAATCACAGCCTTTGCTTCGACTTCCACAAATGACGAATTTGAGCTTGGTTTTACACAAGAAAACCTGAAGAATTTCGCTAATGATCTTGGTATTGGGTTTGAGCTAGAAATTCTCAACGTGGAGTCTTTGAATTCTGGTTCTTGGCCATTGCCACTTAATGTCACGGAAAATGAGGCGATTGCGGTGAATCTCCCTGTTGGTTCGTTCTTCAACGACTCCCTTTCCTTGCCGATGGTTCTCCGTTTCGTGAAGCATCTATGCCCGAAAATCGTTGTGTGTGTTAACCGAGGGGGCAACCGAATGGATGTGGCGTTCCCCCAACGTGTAATCAATGCGCTTCATTGTTACTCGGGGTTGCTTGAATCTATGGATGCAGTGACTGTGAATATGGATACCCAAATGAAGATCGAGAGGTACCTACTGCAACCGGGCATCGAGAAGCTGGTGAGGAGTGGTGAGGCTTGGAAGGAAAGGCTGCCTCCATGGAGATCTCTGTTTTTATCATCCGGATTCTCCCCATTGACATTCAGTAACTTCACGGAGTCGCAGGCCGATTGTTTGGTGCAGCGAACGCCTGTGCAGGGGTTCCATGTCGAGAAGAGACAGTCGTCGCTTGTTTTATCCTGGCAGCGAAAGGAGCTGGTGTCGGTCTCGGCTTGGAGGTGTTGATAGGATCATTTGTCTGGGTTTTAGTTGTATGATGATCATCAAAATTGCGGGTTTTTTTTTTTCTTATCCATTTAGTTATGGTTCAACAAGTATGCTAATTGTGTATGTGCTATTATTACCCATTTAGTTAAAAATAGAAACCTGAATGATCCTATCTTTATAATTAAAGAATACTCTTCTATTGGTTTGAGATCCTTTGGAATGTTCAAAGCAAAGTCATGATCCTACTTAAAGCAAAGTCATGATCCCACTTAGAGAGTCGTGTTCATCTAAAAACGTACCTTTTTAAACTTAGGGTATTAGATGTTTAGAATGTAAAATTGTGGTTTGGTTGTGGAAATTGAAATTTGCCTCAAAATGAAATTAAATTTGAAAAGACCGTACGCCATCATAAGTACGAAAAAAACCCAATCAGACGACTGTGACGGCGGGGGCACCATCCAGTTCCGAGAACGACATCTCCATCAAGCTCCAAGCCACGTGTACGGTTGATGCGTGACTTTGACCGGCGCTTCCCCCACAGTCAACTGTCCTCTCTATTATGTAGTATTTAATTTATTTAATTGTTTGTGGGCCCCACAACTGTAATGTCGCCGTCGTCTGAATCTGATCAGGAAGCCAATGAGGACCGTGGGATGGAAGGCCCAACGTGGAAGCTCAGCCGTGTGATTGAAGTAATGAAAGTGTCAATAATTCAGTTGTTTACTAATAATAATTATTTTCTTTCCTCCTTTTATTTTATTTTTCCTCCCAACTACATTAATTGATTTTATTCTTTAAAATGTACATAAAAATATTTAATTAAATATCTGCATCCATACATATTTTCAATAAATCTCTTCCAAAAAATATATATATTTATAAATCACTAGTTATATTTTAATGGATTTTAAAATATTAATTAACCGACCATATTGACTATCTCCAAATCATTAGCCTACTAATATTTTAAATTTCAATTATTAAATTTATTAGTATATACAATTATATAAGGCAAATTGAAATGCACCCATTTTATTTATTTATCAGTCAAAGCATAAACAATTATTTAATATAATAATCCATTTAATTTTTAAATTTATATTTATTAAGTCTTTAGGTTTATTTTAATATTTATACATTTTTAGTCAATTAGTTCCTAAAATTGTAACAACCTATCTAACCCTTATTAAATTTTGCATCGAAATTTTTTTTTACGTGGATCTAATAAAAAAATTTAATAGTCAGTTTTAAGCTAATTATTTTAAAAGTGATATTTTTTTATTGGTAAACTACGTTCGTTGGAGAGTAGAACATAGTATTTGTTATAAGGGTGTTAAGACCTTTCTTTAGCAGACGTGTTTTAAAATCGTAAGACTGATGGTGAAAATGTTGGAGTATATATGTTTCAATTTTGAATATATATGTTTTGGAGTAAATTGAAAAGATTATAGTTGGGATTGTGTTTGATTTGTTCATAAGTAAAACCACTTTGTTGAAGCTTTTGATTTTCTTTTACCTTTATCCTTCTCTCTTTTCTTTTCCAATCCTCAAAGAATGAAAAGAAAAGAAAAGAAAAAGGAAACAAAATACCTTTCTTTTCACTAGGGGAACATAGATTCTAATTTCCAAGATGGGAATTTCATATTTATCTTTATATTTATAGATCTACTACTACTTCAATGCAACTAACGAACGGATCATCGAAAGCATCCCTTTTATTTTTTAATATATTCTCAAAATGTTTTGAATACTCTATCAAATTCGGATAAAACATAATATGTTAGGTCATCATATGTTATGACATGCTATGATGTATTTTGAAATAAGGAATCTTAGGATGCAAATTCCTAAGCTATGTTTTAAAAGTTATGCCACGAATGAAATGAATTTATTAGAGTTTGTGCATGTATATTATCGAATATAATAGTATAATATGTGAGAAATGAATATGAATGAGGGGTTGTCTTGCATGATTTATTTATCATAGAAATTCATGGAGACCCTATGTATACTTGTATGTTCACGTGTATCGAGATACTTTCTCTTCATGATGAGTACAGACGCATACACTATGAGATGAAAATAATCATCATTTTTATCATGATTCTACGATGGTCGCTATTCTCTCCGGGTGTGTGTAGAGAAGTACTACACATTCAATTTGCACAAACTAGAAAGTCACCTAAGAGAAGAGAGGTTTAAATGATAGATCACATTCATGTTGCATGTGTTTGCATTCCCTGACCTCGACCGTGAGGTCACTTGCCGAGTATTTCTTAAAATACTCAAACTTTGTGATATTCTTATGTTTCAAGTAAAAGCAAGATACCTCTATACGATTGACGGCAGCATCGCGTTAAAGGCCATGAAACTTGTGTCATGGTAGTTTCATTTTACTTTCGTAGATCTTAGGTTAGATCACGATATCTTTTTCAATCTTCTCTTTCATTTATTTATATTTCACATTGGTTATTTAATTGTATTGTTTTAAGACTTTTAATGCAAACGTATAACTCCATAGAATCATTTTATAAATGATTTTAAATGAATGTTTCCACATACCAATGTCATATTATGCATATGGTAGCATCTCTACTTCATTAGGATGGTAGAAAATTAGGATCGTTACAATAATTCTGCAGTCTCAGAAAAATTTTGTTTTTCAATATAGTTTTAAAAAGTGAATGGTGAAGTTCATTTTCAATTTTGAAGAATATCTTTTATCTATATGCGCTTGAAATCGTGCAAAACTTGCTATCAATGACATTGACATTAATATTGATATTGATATTGATGCAAAACCCCATGAATCTTTAGCTTCAGTTACTTTCATTTAGCATGTGAGAAAGTGACCTTTCTCTTCTCTTCTCTTCCTCTACCCAAAAAACCAACCAAATCTCGAGCATTATTTCATGTTAAGTCATACAATCATATACAATCTTATGATGTCATCTCACTTTTACTCATCGTTTGAGTCGTAAATCGAGTCGAAGAACAATCAAAAAAAGAAGAAAAAAAAAAGTGGGTTTTCTTTTATTATTCTCTCCCCAAAACCCAAATTCAAAATTGATGTACACAAAGCCATTGTTGGAAGAAAGTAGATTCCAAGAAAGAGACAGGCAAAAATATAAAAGTTGAACCATTTGCTTTTGTTAAATGCAAAATGAACTTTAATTTGTTTAGCAATTATCACATTATGATACCAAAAAGGAAGGACTTTTGTAATGGAGAAGCCTCCTAGGAGTGAGGGATTCAGCTAAAGATATGGTAAAGAGTGAGAGACAGACAGAGATTTGGCAGCTTTAGGAGTCTCAGAAAAATGAAAGAAACAAACAAAGCTCTTTTAGTTGAGTTGTATTAATGACTTGTCAAATTCCCTTAGTATCATTTTTTTTTTCTTAAGGAAAAAAAAGGAAGAAAAAGAAACACAAAAGGGTTTTGATTTTGTGGTTTTAAGAATATTAAAAGTTGTGAAACTTTAACCACAAAATGAACCAAAGTGTGTTGTTTTTGTATTTTTCATGTCAATTGAGAAACCCATTTACAAAGCTTTAGGGTTTGGTTCAAAAGAATCCTATTCTTCTCCCTTTACTTATTTTACCTATCTTTTAATATAATACTTGTTTTACACGCTCGTTATTTTTTTAAGTCAGCTTCGAAAATGTTTATTATTGAATTATTGGACGAGAATATCTCACTTTTGTGAATTACATAAAATAAAACGTGAATATATTAAATTTAAAAGGAATAATGAAAAGGGTTAAGCTATACGAGATATATAAATATGAGGATTAGATCACGATCTCGATGATACGAGCGTAAGAAAGTATAATGTAAAAGTGGGTTAGGGAAAGCATTTGGAAAAAGGAAAATGGTGAAATGCATATACGTGGGTGCATGCTCGTGTGCGTGTAGAAAGAAAAAAGTTAGGGTTTCGGGAGATAAAATAATTCGTCTCGGATCCATTTTTTTTTTTTATTATTATTAATTTTTTAATATTCAAAACTTTAATAGATGCTTGGCCACACCATATCTTTTTCTCTTTCTTTCTCTCATTCTTTTAGGTTAGAGTCAGCTTAGAAACAACGCGTTGTTAGCATTTTTGTTGAAAAAGTATAAATATACGAAAACCCAAAAGTAAACACTCATATGATTAGGAAAGGCCAATAATTGTAAGCCCTCTCTCTTCTACATCTGTCTTTTTTTTTGGAATTTTTAATGAATACTGTTTTGTTTTATTATTATATGGTGGAGTTTTGGCTCCACAACACTTTTGCATGGCTGAGTTGGCAACACTCTATTTCATGTTTTTTTTTTTTGTCTTATTTTTAATAAAAAGTAAACTCATTCTTCGATTTAGTTTGGTTTGGTTTTGATTTTTCGGTGTCTTTTCCATATAATTCTGACAATATTGTACTTCTTTCTTATAGAATCGTTTATCTTTAAGCCTTACGTGCGTAAGAAATTGAAAAGAGATTCTTTAGTCCATCGATTTCTTTTTAAAACTCTATCGTTTTCGGTTTATGTAAGGTTTTGTTTGAATAGAAAGATGAATATATTAGGTATGGAATTTTGTGGTTGACCCAATAGAGGTAGAGAGAAAGAGGGTAAATTAAAAGAGTTGATTAAGCAACCAACTTAGTGTGAGGCCATGTGTTTAGGAATGGAGGGTGGGTTTGGCAAATGATTGGTGGAATTTTAATTTGGTTTACATTCATTCATCTATTAGACACAACATTGAGTTTGTTATCTCATTCGCGTACATTTTAAAAATTATGTTGATGTAAGGATCCAAAAATAAAAAAAATAAAAAGGGGGCAAGAATTCCGATGACTTGTTAAAATTCATGCACCTTCACCCTACATGTTTTCTCCTACCCCAAAAATATGCCAACGACCTTCAGCCGCACCTCATAGAATCCACCTGCTAAGAAAAATAACATGATACATAGAGAAAACAAGGGAGAAGAAGAAAAGACTGCTGAGTTACCCCACGTCGAGCACAATGCCAACAACCACCCATTGAGACTCATGACGTCGTATAGTTTAGATAACGCCATGGAAAGAAGGACTAACAAGCTAGGGAATACCATGATGCAAACAAGTGTTGTAGCTTTGCCAGTT